AATTTCTAGTATTGTAATATAATTAACTATATTATTTAAACTAATACTGTACTTAAGTTTTATTTGGAGATATGTGTACTTTGATTGAATAATTCCTCCTATATTTCCTACCAGCCAACGTTGTACTTTTTACTCAAATGTATTTTATTTTACGCTTTATTTTCTAATTACTTTGTGGGATAAGGTTATAAATTCTAATTATAAATGAACTAATGCGACAAAACTACCACCTGCAACAATTACGTGACAAACGTATATATTTATCATTCATTTATATCCAGTGAGGTAATAAAAATGACTGAAATTGATCAATCTACTGCATATTCATACTTTTATTAGTTTTTATTTTTTCATTTTAGATTGATGTTTACACTTTCTTACATTAATTACTTACTTATGACACAGTATAGAGTATATTTTTCAACAACATGTGCATTTAGTACTTTATTTTATTTATTGTGAGTGTAAAGTCAAAGATACACTTCTTTGGGATATTCAAGTGTGTTATATTCTATTATAATGGCTCTTTCCCCATCAGATCATGCAACCTGTATTGAGTTCAAACAGAGACAAACAGGCAGTGTTTCGGCACCCCAGAGGAAAGAAAGTGATCTGACGTCAGCCGTCAAAAGTGAAAAGTAATGGGAAACAAGAATTACATCATCTTTTGGATTCTATGCAGCAGATCAGCCCAACGAGAACAGGTAAGAGAATCTTAAATCAAGCCGAGTCCCCCTTCCTCATCCAAAACGTTTAGCCATTAAATATCTGTCAAGTCTAATCAAAATGGTTTTCTATGTAGTTTGAGATTAAAGAAACAACCAGAATCTCTGGGTGGAAAACTTTATTTTTTATACAACTGTGAGTGTGTATTCCAAATGTATCATAAAACAGAGAGCTTGGTCTATCTATATTTAAATGATTTTAAGAGAGCTCATTCAAGAATTAAATGATTTTCTATTGTCTTTTTCCGTTTCTGTGAAATGCCTACGCAGAAGTGTTTGACTCATTCGTATACAGCAGTCGTTCATTTATTAGTGCAAAAAATAAAATAAAATAGTGTCTCAAACGGTTTAGGTGATATAGGCTACTGTAGCTTTGACACTTGACACTGAAATCACAAACAACCATATGTGAAGAATATGAAATTATCGTGTTTATTAAATGCATTTGTATCTTATTGAAGTATTTAACACACAACAAAGTTTGTTCTCCTTTTGTCTTTCAGAAATCCAAAACTGAGTCGACATACAATGGCATACAACTATATCATTGTCCTGTTTTTTCTGTGCAGTAAGTACATGTATTTTCTCTCTTACATGCACTCAGAAATTAAGGTGGTCTTGCACAGGAAAATGAAACCACAAAAATGTTTGCACGTCGGAAGCTTCCGTGAACTGACAGAGGTGTTGCCGTGTGCAAAAATAAAAATGTTAAATCTCTGGTGCTTCATTTCTCTGTTTCTTTTCCTTCCTGTAAGACCTGGCTGTGGCGCTCACTGGTATGTACAACACAACGCAACTCGTAAATTACATTTGTATGAAACTTGTCATTTAATAAAACAAGCAAAACACAAATATAAAGCTAGACAACAACACCTGATGAATCATTTTTTTTCATTCAGTCTGGGCCTATAAGTCTTCCATCCCACTCTTTTCTGTCTGTCTGTGTGTGTTTTTTTGTGTGCGTGTGTTTTTGTGTGTGTGTGTTTGCTTGCCAGAGAGCACAGTGTCTTGCTACAGGATCGAGCCGGGGACAATAGCAGGCATCATCTGTGCTGATGTGCTGCTGACCCTTATCATTGTCATTGTCACCTACCGATGTGCCAGTTTAAGGCATCAGAAGAGAGAAAATGGTGAGGAAATGAGGCTTAAATCTGTTTCTGTTGTGTGCGAATATCTGCAATGTTGTGAGATTCAGTAAATGAAGTGTAACTTTGTTAAATTTGAATTGTCAAATACTAATTACTCTCTTTGTGTCTTTCTTTTCGTCTTCCCAGCTAACAAAGTATATATGAATGTCCGGGCCAACTGCAAGAACTAATCTAAAGATGAAATTACATTCAGTTTCTTAGATCCTGTTTAGTGTATTGCAAGATGTTAGAATATATTAATGTAACAGTATATGAATTCAACTCTTTTGCAATAAACACAACTGTCTAAAACACATTTCAGTTTTTGTTAATTATAAAGAGTACTATTTAACACACTTATGTTGCAAACCCTAGTAAATGAGAGGTGTGTCTGTCACAGAAAACTTTAAAGGGGTACATCAAATTCACCAGCCTTGTGAAATATGTTTGAATGCTAACCAGCTCATGAAATGTTGGCACTCTTACAAATACAGCACCCTCTGCAGTTCACTTTAGGTAGCAACATGTCTAAATACTGTCATTTTAACCCTTTAGGCCCCTGAAGTTTCCTTTTAAATATCTGTAAAGATACGAGTGATGACAAACATAAAAGACAGATCAAATGATTTTAGATAGATGTTTTTAGTGTAGAATCGTACAAGCCACCAAATGGATAATGCATTAAAAGGAATGCTGATAATATAATAATTCTGCACATCAGTACATGAGTACATTAAATAAAACACAGGAAGAGCATTTTTGTTAAGTCTAATAAATAATAGCAGTGTGCCTTTGTACGTGTTTACTTAGTAACATGGTGTTTTCTGTTTGTCAGCTTCATTTATACTCACAAATTATTCTCATCTTTTGTATCACTCTGTACCAAAGTGACATTTGAGCAGTGTGACTAACAGGACACCTGATTAGATCCTGCATGAATGCTGTTGAGTTGAGCTGTGTGTTGTTGAAGGTGATGTGGTCTAACTGCTGGCTGCCATTTCCGTGAAACATGAAGAGCATGCATGTTGACCAAAGCCAATTTAATATCTTTGAAATATCAGTCTGACCTACCTCCTCTGTAGGTTCACAATGGTTTAGTTTATGCCATGGAATCACTCTTAAATAACCACAAGAATAACAACCATAGAATAGGATTGTGTGGTTAAAAGCCAAACCACTTAATTCTTTCAAAACATTTGGAAAGTTGTTGCAGGGTTGTTGTGCATGAGGAATTTCCCTCAGCTTGCTATTGCTCAACGTTGGCTGACCTGGTTCTGTGTGATTGGACTTCAGGGCATCTTTTGATACCATTTCATTTTATTTAGACACTATCTAATTTTGAGGAAAAAATAAACACTTGTCTCATGTTCTGTCATCAGCGGCAATGATCCGTGGAGTGCCTCAAGGTTCGATTCTGGGACCATGCATTCATTGTTTATCCACTTTCTTGTGGATGGCAACAAGAACTATAGTTAAAGGTGGGGAAGGTAATTTTGGAGAAACCAGCTCGATTGCGCTAGAAATTGAAAATATACAACCGGAAAAAATCTTCCACTTCCTTACAGAGCCCCGCCTCCAACACACACGAACGCGCACATGACCAATGAGGGCACGAGATAAGTTTGTGCACAGATGGAAGGCTGACAGGCAGGTAGGCCATCCAGTTATTTTAGCCGGGCCGGATAAAATAATTGGTCGTGCTTTTTACAGTACTACGGCTTCCACAGATGACATTTTTTCTATGGATTTTTTGTTAAAGCACTTAAGATATTCATTGCTATCGGGATGTTAAGAGCATTCCATGCAATATAACAAAAAGTGTATCTCGAGCCGGTTTCTCAAATGTACCTACCCCACCTTTAATCTCCCTTTGAAATCCAGCAATTGCACCTCACTTGTTGGATTTTCTAAGTGATAATAAACTAAAGTATTTCAGCCCTCACCTGGGGGCATCCAATACTCTGTCTGTATAAGAACAAGGTCACTGGTTCAAGTCCAGCTAATTATGTTTTGATATATTATATTATATTAAAAATGCTTTTTGGTAGCCAGTTTATTAAACATCTGGCAGGTGACTCGTTCATTTTCATGAAGGTCATTAAAGATTATTTTCAATCCTGTTTTTGATTATAAATGTTAATGAGTTGATTTTTCTTCTAGCTGATTTACAGCTCTTTTCCGGAAGATCAAACAACTGTAAGGAGGAATCTTTTTTTAGGAAATAACGAGCAAAAAATATAATTAAATGTCCTGTTTGAAAAAGAGAAGGAGGCATCTTTCACAGCCTGGCAAAACAAAAGCTGTTCTAAGCTAGGGTTTGTGACCCATTTGTAAGTATTACTATATTATTAATCAAGCATAATAAAACCACTCAACACATTTTTACAATAATGGTATTATTATATTATTATGTACGCTTTATAAGATCAAGATGAAGAGAGTGAAAAGGGTCCAATTGGTTTTGCTGCTGCAAGATATTTATAACTTTAAAAAATCACATAAGTCCTCTTTTACTATTATTTCTAAATTTAAAAAACGATATGGATTATTTTGATTGGTGTTTTTGTAATTGGGTCACCTAGCCGAGAAATGTAAATAGTTTTAATAATCTTTTATATCCAATTGTTTTATAATGTACTACTTCTGTTGAGTATTTTAAGTATTTGTTTAATGCATTAACCATTTGAAATATTCGGACAACTGTAACATAAAAGAAGCAATGAAAGTACTTTCATTTCGCTGAGAGGACATCAGCATTGGAGATAAACGTGTGGTTTAACACTGGCTCACAGACTAGGTAGCAGTGACTGTGGCCAACCGCCCGTTGTTGTGAACCACAGGTCATGCAGGAAGTGCTTTATTTGGTGATATGATCACATGCATTTCAGCAGAAACTGCAGGTGTGTGAAACTGACCTAATTCAGCTCCTTATCTTGGCATCTCTTGCGAACGTTAATTTATATAATTAACAAACTCTTAAAAAGTCAAAAAGAAGGCCTGAATCTTCAATCAAATGTGACAGTGGAGGAATTGCTGATTGTATGTATTACACCTGCCAGCCTCACATAAGTGACAATACAGAGAAACAGCCGCTTCCTCTTCTCTCAGAGGACTCCCTCCTCCTCCTGTATATGCAGTCACATGCTGATAAACCCTCACACCGCTGCGAGTCAGGACCGTTTTTCATGAAACCTCCTCTGGCTTTTTGCTTATGGGTGCATCGACACAGCCCGTCAAAAGAGAGCTGTAGGACCGCTGGCCCTCAATCGCTCATTTCTTCTCTTGCCAGAAACCAACATAAAGAAGATGTCTGACGCCCTTTGTATTGTGGGTTCATATTTTGGTGAGTGGTGTTCTTAATTTGTTTTTAACAGTGAATAATGAAGCAATTAAGTCACAGGCATTGTTGTTATTAAGTAAAGTTTAAATAACTTTCTGTCTTTCAGGATCCACAGAAGGACAGCAAGGTATCTTTAAAGCTTTAAACATTTGCCTCTGTTGTTGTATTTTGATTGTGTGTTACAACTCTATGTCTTTGCCCTTTTTACAGATTGTGGTTCTTGTTACCTGATAAATATGGGCTCTGTAATTGGCATTATCGCCTCTGACATCCTCTTGACCATCTTCATCATGATTTCTGTGTTCTGCTTTGCAACTCATATCAAGAAAAGGAGGAAGTGGGATTCTCGTGATGGTGAGCACTATCTTTATGTGTATTGCTGCTTATTTTGAGTAGGCTCTATGGTATTACATGGCAGACGGGCAGTAACATGACCCTCTTCAACAGGAAAAAAAAATCCACCAACATCATCAGTTTCAAAGAAAATGGCAACAGAACTCACAGAATCTCCCTACCAGGTAAAGCAGAACTATTTCATCATGTAAGCCTTACAGATACTTAAACTGTTATATCATATCATTTGTGTTTCCATAATGAATTGTTTTGACTTTTCTGTAGGAGTTACATGGAATCCAATCAGATGTGTACAGCGATCTTCAGCAGTTTAGGAAATGAAACAAAGGAACTATAAAAAAAACAGCAATGCCTTAGCTATAACTGGAAAACACTCCTCTTGTTTCCTTAAACTCCAGCAGCATTATATGTAATAACAATCGTTACATTTATATGTTTTGCATGATTTAATAATGTTGTTTTGCTTTTTTGTAAATCTTAAGCTGTCTTCAAATTATATATTTTCTATTTAACCAATTGTAAATTAAACTACATTTTAAAAACAAGAAAAATAATTAAGATACATTATGTACTTGTTCTTTTATTCTGTATTTCACACGATTATATTCACATCTTCACATGACAGTTAACAAATACAGAGATCTGACAAAAGACAGATTTTCAGTACATTTAGATTTAAAATGTAAACTACAATCTTCAACCAAATATCATGCTGTAGCAGTTTTAACCAGTTTCTAGTCTAACACGGTTTTTGTTTTTTTAAACCTGTTTATTTATTTAAGAAAAAAAGAAGAAAAAACATCTACATTTAGATGAAAAAGCCCCCGAATTGGGAAACAGCCAGTCCGCCTCCTATGACTCAACAGATGGCAGCCCCTGACTCATTATGAGGAAGAAATAGAATCAGGAAAAATCGAGAAAAACAATTGGTATTCAACAATACATACCAGAATGACAAAGCAAGATCTATAAAAAACAAATGTCTAATAATTAGACAGGGATGACATACTAAATTAAATGCATTTGTCTCATTAAAATGCATTGCAAACACACCTCTGATCATACGGTGGCTCTGATCTTTGCTGGAACAGCGAAGGTACTGGGGCTCTGCTCTGGAGGAACTAAAGCATACATAAGAAATTACCATTCTGTCATGAAAGCTCTGTATACAGTATATCAGTTATAAACAATGTTTTTACAATATTCACTTGTGGAAGAAAACTCCTCTTACCTATTGGATACATTTCATGGCTCATAAACTCTCTGGTTTCTGTAGGAATATTTTAAAAAAATGGTTAACCCTTTAATTGTTCAGAAGATAATTCTTGGAAAAACACATCTTGTTCAATAAGCGCAGGGTCTTACCATCATAGTCTGGATCTCCTCTGATGCCCACTGGAGCAGGTCTGCCATTGTGGTACTCCAAACTATCCCAATCCAGCGGCACTCTGCCTGGGCCTGGAGCCAGCATCCCATTCAACCCATGAACTCTTCCTGGTGTTGCCTTTCTTTGGACACTACCAGTCACTCTGTCTTTACTCAAACAAACAACTGGTTTTCCTGACAAATGTTCAACCTCCTGAGCCTCCACCATCACTCCTTCCTCACCGCTTGCTTTTTGTTTCTCGTGTGGCCCACTTTGTTCCCTGCTCCCCTGAACCGGCACGCTGCTCAGATCCATTGAACCCACATTGGTTTTATCCCCCGATGGTGCTGCATATTTCTCCTCAGCTTTGGGATACTTGGTCACATCACTGTCAAGGCCTTTTAATGCATCTGGGAAAAGTCAAAGTTATTGCTACAACTTCTGCGTAATTGTGTACATAACATTCAAGATTCATGATTCCTTTTATTGTTACATCTTAATTATACAGTAAAACAAACAACAGACATTGGGAAGCCCATGCACATACCTGTAAATCCATTGCTGCCATAACTCGCTGTAGATTTAGCCTCAGACCTTTCTGTGACTGAGTTTGCAGCTATGTAAAAATAAAGATGTGACAAGTTCCAATAATCAGGAGCTGTGTTGTATTTACATATGAGGCATGTGTAATACCATGTTTAAAACAAACGTACTTATAAATACACATATACTGTATAGTGCTAATAACTGTACTTTACTGTGTATTTCTTTCATCAACAAAAAGGAAAAACATGTACCTTCAGACTCTTGCTCGTTCTTAGGTATAGGGTATTCTGCAAACATGAAACAAAACAAGATTATAATCACCAGGGTGTTTTATGGTAACAACCAAATAGTGTCAAAGGTGCTTGTACACCCTGAAGATATATCTCAATGACAAAGCTTCACAAATACTATATGTCTCTGTTCGGTTTTTGTGTCTTTTGCGACCTGGTCTTTGAAACTCGCATTTACGATAGGGAACAAAAAGTACTTTGAGGATCTGGTGAGACAAGGCCTTCCTGTTTTAAAACTGAAACTATCTGATTGTACCTGAAAGCAACATTTTGAATCACACACCTGTTGTATTTGCAGGAATGGCCTTTTCGGTAGTTGTGCCAAGTGTATCTATGAGAAGAATATTAGTTAGTTATTGAATATCATTTTTGCAACAGTAGTATGCAGCTATTTATCTTGTTTCAAAAAGCAGTAATCTAACTATTTTGCTCGTAAAAAAGAACAAACAGTAAAGTTGACAAAAGTAATCTCACCATATAGATTGCTTAACCCTTTTTCTCTTCGCGCTTCAAAAGAGAGAAAGAAAGATCCAACATCTATCTTTCCGACGTCCTAAATCTGCAATCTGAAATGTTTACAAAAGTGATATAAACACAAAACGAGGTAATTTGTTCTCCATTCAGGTTGGTTTACCTCTGATTGGGGCAGTAAGCACCATAGTTGCAAATGGAAGAAGTAGACACATTAAGCTGAAACGAATAAAACTGCAATCAATTCAAGGTTGAAATACATGTTTATGTGGATTTGTATAGCTATGTCAATTTCAGCTGGTAATTGAAATATATTTCATTGACGGATTTGATGAAAAATACATTAATTATATTGTAAAAAAACAACTTACTGCTTCATTGTTGACTTTGGTCCTCAGCTGTATCCACTGTTTGTCGGCAAGAGTACTGTTTTGAACTACCGCTTATCCTGCATTTTTACTTTTAATAGGTCTCCACTCCAAGTTAATTATATATGCTAAAAATATGTAACAGATATAGTAGTCAAAGACCTTTTCTGTTTGTCTAACAGCGCATGACTTCCAGGCAGAGAAGTAACAATTTGGCTACAGAAATAATTTACAGGGGGTCCATTATCTCATTATCTCAAATCAAGAAGGAAACAAATGTTCTCAACCTTCAAACTCATGGAGTCGTCTTTCGCTCCTTTATGTGTTGATTACTGGTGGGTTCTTCAGGGAAATGCCCCAGGCTTTTTCTATGACTGAGGTAGCCTTTTAAATGATGCCACACAACATGCATTGTTTTCCATCACTGTTTTACCATTGTCCATTTGAACAGTGAACCCAAACAAAGAGCTTTTCAAAAACAGGCCCAAGCCCTTGACTGAGCATCAGTCCATAGAATTGCCTCTTGATAGAAACATCCTGACATGGAGAGCACAATAACGCAGTGATTAAAAGCAGTGAGTTACACAATTATTTGAATTGCAGTCTTGTGTGTATGCCTGCTCGTGCTCCAGGCTTCTCAACTAAACTACTATATTAACCATGCTGAATCATATCTGACTGCCCCTAACAATCTTTGCAGGGCCAGAGAGGTGGTTAATGGCGCATGTTGCGAGTGGAAATGAACACTTCGTGTGGCTATACAAATCAGATCCACTGACTAAATATTTGAGATGTGGCCGAATCATCTGCATGCCTACAGACGCATGCAGATAAAAGTTTCTGCCTCAATCAGACCTGTTGGTGGCAGAGGGTGCTACAGTCTCCCCCATGAAAGAGAAAAAAGGGAGAGCGCCCTCTGCGGGAAAGGCTGTTCGCACTAAGCTCTTGATCCCAAGCATCGCCATATTGACGTCCCAACAACGCTGAGAGGTAATCGTGTTATTTAACCACAAATTGTCGTAGGTAGGGAACTGCTTTTGAGTATTTTATACGTGTCGAAAAGCTGTGAACATGTAACACAACCGCGGTGCCCTTTTACTGCTCGATCACGGTGTTTTTAGGAGGTTTTTTCAAGGCGTTGTCAGTCAGTTGCCTCGCCAGCCAGCAGGCTATTCACTCCCCTAGCCTGTTAGCTTAGCACTTTCTAGCTTTAGGAAATATATTTCTCGAGGCTGGTTGTTTAGCTGTACGTCAATAATAGCCCCTATAATGATTATTTGACCTTTTTGGACGCGTGGCGTTTAACTATTTCCGTTATAGTCCCATAATTTAGCCGCAATATAGTTGTGACTTTCCAACCGGCTTTTCCCTCTGCTGTTGGCGAGCTAATGCTAACTCGCTAGCAGCCCGACCAGCTGCCCGGTTGCCTAAGAGCTAGCAGCTAGCTTCACTGCACTTGTACAGGCCCTGGGCCACAGAGGGTTTCTGCGTACACTCACCTTTTCATTAAACTATTTAGCGGGCGAACTAGCTACAACTGAATATATACCGGAGTAACCATTTTTCGATTAGATTACTTTATTAAACCCAATAATCTAATGTAGCCCTACGAGCTGATTGGCTGGCATACATAGATAGCTCACAGTTTGTTCGTGTTTGCTTAATTGACAGCATTGATTTTAATCAACCTACTTTCTGTCTTTTTTTCATCAGGAGATACTGCCTTGGTGTAGCCCCCAGTGATGACTGTATTGAGCCCTGTACCTCCTGATTAGACTGGTTGGATGCCCCCATTTAACATTCAGGTCTCTATATTTCATAAGCAACATTATTTGGACACTAACATGTATAATACTATATATTCTCAATACACCTGTTATACCTGTGTTATTAAAATAGCATTTGTTGTATTTTCATTAACTACCTATTGCCTTTCACATGAAACATATGCAGTTTCATTTGAAACTCAAATCAACATCCTGTGAAACTGGAGGGGAAACATTTTCATGTTAATTAAAATATTGATATGTATCTGTTTGCTTTGATTAGCATTTCTCAGTTTAAATACTTCATATTTGTTTGTATTATTGGTTTGACTGTAGAATGCTAATGGTCTGTTTTTATATGTGTGCCCTTGTAGCTTTCTTACCATAAAGGCATCTCAACTGCTCCTGTTTCAATTCATCTATCACCATCATCCTGGAGGGAACCTCCCAGGTATCGTGTTGCCTTATAATTAAAGTACCTTATCACCTTTGTGTAGTTATAGGATGTCCTCTAGTGCTATACAGTAGACGGAATGTTATTTAATTGGCTTGATCTGTTGTATACGGAATGTGTGATTATATGTAACCATTTTTTTTTTACATTATCTATTTTATTTTAGGAGATTAAGAGAAGATCCTGTGTAGAATATGTCTGGCCCTGTCCCAAGCCGCTCTCGAGTTTACCCTGATGTAAACACACAGAGACCTAGGGAATATTGGGACTATGAGTCCCATGTTGTTGAATGGGGGTAAGTCAAAGGGAAATAGTTAGTTGTTTTTGTTTTGCTTTGTTAGGTAAG